AATGTACATGTCACATTTGGTACATATAGAATCACTCAGAAGTGTGAAACATGTTAAAGGTTAAATATATAGTCTGTGCAGGACATAAGTATGTACAATAAAAGAAAGAGGGGCAATACCAGTGCAGGTTTTTCAGTCCTAGTGCATTAGTGACTTAAAGTGACTTCTTGTACAGTCTGACAGCGGTGGGGATGAATTAATAATGATTTTGGCAGCAGGGTGGTTGAGCAGCTCACATCAAGAAGGTCACTCCCGTGTCTGGCCAAAAGTTTCCACATCTCTCTGCGTGTGTTTCCTCCAGGCGCTCCTGTTTCCCCCACCATCCAAAACATATATCATCGATAAATTCCTCCAACTTCTGTAGTTCAGCCGAGCGGAGCGTCAACATCCGGAGATGGGTTCCTGAGTCTTCCATTACTCTCTAATCGCTTCTACATACTTGGTCAGGTTATGTTCAAGCCAAAGAAATAAACTTATTTTGTTTTTAAAAATCTACCAGAAAAGAATAACCCAACATGTGCCAAATAAAGAGTTTTTTAATTTTAGTTTTTTCATTGTACATAATTATATCCTGCACAGACAATATTTTTTAACCTTAACATGTTTCACACTTCTTTTTTGTTTAATCTGAGTGATTCTATCCAATGCCAAATGTGACATGAACATTTCTCCATTGTGAGATCTATAAAGTTATCTTTTCAGAATCAGAATCATTTTTATTGCCACGTAAGTAACAGGAAGTCACAGACTTGGAAATTGCTTTGGCTCAGTGCAACAGTCAGAGAGAGATAATTAAAAAAAATAAAGAATAAAAAACACTTCTAAGGAATACATTTAAATTTAAAATAGAGTTACAGTTACTATTTACAATATACAAGTGCACATGGTGCACACAATGTAAGGTGACAGCAGTACAGTGAAGTAAAGTGACGTATGATGGGCAGTAAAGTGACTTTATAAAGGGCGGGGGGGCAGGTTAAGAAGTGTTCAAGAGTCCAACTGCAGAGGGGAAGAAACTGTTCTTGTGGCGGGAGGTTCTAGTCCTGATGGACCGCAGCCTCCTGCCTGAGGGGAGTGGGGGGTGGAATAGTCCATGTGCAGGGTGAGAGGGGTCGGCTGTGATACGACCAGCCCGGCCTCGAGCTCGGGCGACGTACAGGTCCTGCAGCGATGGAAGGCTGCGGCCGATCACTTCCTCTGCAGAGCGCACAATGCGCTGTAGTCTCTGTTTGTCCCTGACTGTGGCTCCAGCGAACCACACGGTGACGGAGGAGGTGAGGATGGACTCGATGATGGCCGTGTAGAACTGCACCAACATCTGTGCAGGCAGCTTGGCTTTCCTGAGCTTTATCTTATATTATCTTAAAATACCTTCATAATGCAAAACATGAAAGACCAGTTCCCCTGACCAGTTTTTTTTTAAATTTGGTCCCCAACCAAAATAAGTCTGACATTTTGGTTGGGCCCTTGTTTCTGGTTCAAATGCAGAAACAGGGGCCGTAAAAGTATAAATATAAAGAATAAAAGAATGATAATAATAATAGTACATCAAACTTGTATAACGCTTTTATGGTCACTCAAAGACGCTTCACATAGGGAAAAACATGAGAAGTCGGTTCACGGAAAGGCTTTTTTAGACAGATGGGTTTTGAGACTGATTTAAAAACCCAAACACAATCAACAATCAAACAACCTTTTTACAAATGCATTGATCGAGTCAGTTTGATCAACTCGAGACTAGTTCTCGCACCAAAAGAACACATTCAGAACTGACCAAACCCTCCTTTTGTAAGCACTCTACCGCCTCCTGCTGTGGACGACCAGCAAAGCTTGAAGAGTCTTTGAAGCGTGCTGCCTTTTAACACGCACATACACACAAACTAGCCCTGGTTTGAATAATTGATCAGCAGTATGTATGCCGACTGTAGACGATTGTTGTCAGCAAGCCTCACAGCTGGCCTCACACTCACTGGGAATCAAAGAGAGCAGCAGGCCTGTCTTTTGTCATACTGGGCTTTGAGTTATGCCGTTTATTCTTATCCTTCGCTCTCAATCGCTCACCGTTTGTTCTTGACAAATGACAGATTTTCTGCTAAGCCGGTTGATTACGTCTTTTGATTCTCGGGACGTAATTAGTAGATAGGATTTTCATTTGGTCCACTGTGCAATAATGTTTGGCTTCACAACACGGCTATTTTTAAATTAGTTTTCCTACAACACAATTTTTGTTTGCGTTTTGATTTTGCATTGTGGTTTGGATGCTTTTTTTTTTAAGTTTGCCTGTGGCTTAGTATGAAAGATATAGCTAGAGTTTGGCTGCAGATTAATGGACAACACAAATCCATGTTCGTGCATTCTGCAGTTTTATGCATTTTTGGTGTTGTTGCAATTATCCTACATATGAATATAGACATTAAATACAATTATGCGATTGTTACTAATGTACAAACCTCCACCTAAATCTATGCTTTATGACTCGAATAGATTGCTGCAATGTACATGTCAAACACTTGAACCTACATAGTCATTTTGTAAATATTTTATAAATCCACAGAGATGACGGAGCAAAGAGCCGGACGTGTTACCATGGCGACTGCCCCATATGTAGGAGCAGGGGCCTCTTGAATAAATGAGCTTTACCAGCAGATGTCTACCGGCCTATGTCACAGAAACATATCTGACCCTGAGCTTTATCTGCCACGTCTGTTGTTTTGCTGGATATTTTGATTGTATGAAGCGTAAAGGATAAAAATGTGGAGGTATGATTTTGTCTGCTTGAACAGAGTGGGATTTTGTTGATTTGTGAAGTCAATGGAACGAGACAGCACAACAAAAGCAGGAAGTAGCCCATGCTGAGAGACACGTGGGGGGTTTCAATCACTTAGGATTTTTTAAAGATATTTGATGTGAAATAGACAAAAGGTGGAGACACATTATAAGAGAGGGAGGATTACTAAAACCAATAACGGAAAGGAAAGAGAATGATGTAATGTATGCAATGTACCTTTTACTTGAGTGTCAAGAAAGGTGCCTAAGAAAATGTATTATTATTATCAATAGAGATTAAGTAGGTAAGTAATATTTATTTATATAGCGCCTTTCACAGACCAGAGTCACAAAGCGCTTTACAATTGTGGGCATTTGTCTCTCACTCCACACAGAGATGAGGGCGGGGCCAGTACAGGAGGCGCATGTCAGAACTATTGTATGTTTTTAGTGGTAGGAGAAACCAGAGTACACGTAAGAAACCTACGCAGACATGGGGAGAACATGCAAACTTCACTCAGAAAGGCCCTGTCCGGGAAACGAACCCAGGACCTCCTCGCTGAAAAGCGAGAGTGCTACCCACTCAGCCACTGTGTTGCCCAATTCTGTGAAATATTTGTGCCAAGTAGCTGTATAGGACTGCACATGAAAGATATCCATATTATATTATGTTTTTGTCCAATGTGACAATAATTATGTAAGATCTTGAAAAAATCTATATCGCAAATGACTATAGAGGTATATAAGTGAAAAAAATAAATACAATTATATCTGGGCTCATAATGTGGCAGGTTGTGTGGATGGATGTATAAAAGTCAGATTATGCATTTGGATGTGACAGACCAGCAGGACAGCGGTTTTATGTCAACATTCCCGACAGAAATATATATAATTGATTCCAAACAAAACTATTCTAGCGTTTACGACCACATATTGAGAGGTGGGTGGCAATAGAATCATAATAGAAAACACATCAGATTTTCTATGCATTACCTAAATAATGGTAAAAAGACGCAATTTGCAAACCACGACCATCAAAATGCGTTCACAGCGCGATGAATCCTTCCGCTTTAATGAGTTGTGTGTCGTCTTGTTGTGATGAGATGCACATACAGCCGTGGTCTCTCAGGAATAATGCTTTCCCTAGACATCCGTGTAACCAATCTTAATCCTAAAGCTGTTAATCCTTACAAAGCCATTTAAACACAACTAAATTACTCCCCAAAGACCAGAAAGTAGCTAATGGTTACAAAAGTAAATTAAAACCAAGTGGTGGCGTTGTCTACAGTATTTACTTGCTGCTCGTTGGCTTGGACCGACTCTAAATATCACAAGAGAATACAAATTGAGCCTTATCTGTCTTAATCTTATCTATATTGCAAAAAGGTCGACGATCCGGTAAACACAGACATGACTTGTAAATTGGTGTGTCGGCATCACCTTCAATGGAGGATAAATAATTGAAATGCTATGTGGAACATTGCAAACCAACCAATAACAGATAAAGGCAAATGAGTAGTGGACCCTTCTCTATAGTAAATGTTTAATGAATTTTTAAGTATAACTCTTTCCCCACATATACTGTATGCAGTGTTGGGTAGAAACTTGAAAATGTATTCTGTTACAGAATACTGAACACATGACCTAAAATGTATTTTGTATAGTATTCCATTACTAGCACACACATACACACACACACATGCACACACACACACACACACACGCGCACACACACCCACACACACACAAAAACAGTATTTTGACTACATAACCGACATGTATTCCGTTACTCCTCAACGCTGACTGTACGTCCAACATTTCAGATCCAGTGGTGCAAAGTAGGTTAGGTTGCAAAACACTTAAGTCAGCGTAAGTAAATGTTAGAGAAATATAGGCCAACAAAGAGATACACGTCGTAAATTATTTTTGAGCTTCCAATCATGGACAGGGACCCGGCTGACCTAGAAAAGGGGCTGAGTAATGAAGAGATAATCTGCAGCAGGAGAATCAGTGAGACAATGTGGACAAATGTTTTTTTGTAGATCTAGTCTTAACAAGATAACAGCCAAATCCCACTCTGCTCTAGAACCATCACAGCATGCACCCTCCACCACTAAGCTAATTTCAGCCATTTGCTAGCATGATAAGTACTGGAGTTGTGGAAATACAAAATAAGAGGGTATGATGGATTGGTAAATGTTACCATCACTTGAACCACTGTGTCTGTCCCACAGCTTGTCCTCAAGGCACCTTTAAGTCCATGCAGGGGGCAGGATTGTGCCAGCAGTGTCCCCTCTACAGCCGCTCCACCATCGAGGCTGCGACTCTGTGCGGCTGCCGGAACGGATACTACCGTGGAGACATGGACCATCCCCAGGACACCTGCACCAGTGAGTCCAGCTTTACTTCTCGTCACAGTCTCTGACCCGATAGTCTGCTAGCATCAGGAAGGAAAGACCTGCAAAATCTCTGCTTCACACAGTGAGGGTGGATCAGTCTGTCTCTGAAGCTACTCTCCAGAGTAGACAGAATGTCCTGCTGGGGATAAACAGTGCACTTACATCCTCCTGTTTCCTGTTGCTCCACTCCATTCAGCCGGCTGGAGCAATCGTGGGCCATTTGTAATGAATGAAAGCTGTTCCACATCGGACAGATCCACAGACGTGGAATATATTCTGGCCTCACAGTTCAATCACTCCAAACAACAATCATCATTTACACAATAAATTCAGCCTGTGCAGGCTTTATACTGATGATATTACTCATGATTGGTGATTTTATGCACTGTTGCTTGGTCGATATCTCAAACGCACAGACAAGGTAAATTCTTTTGGACTTATTCACAGAGCAGGTTCTCTTCACAGTGGAGAAAAAACACATGCAAGGTGATTTGAGGAGCGATGAAAGCAATCACATAATGCAACTTTAGTTTTGGCCCTAAATGAGGAGTTGTGAGCCAGTTTTTCACCTTGTTCTCTAGCCTTTTATGATTCATTGCCACACAGAGCTAGATTATGTGTCCAGCATTAATGAAAAAACATTTATATTGCCCTGATATATCTCTGTCTTGATGTACATCAGTGACGTACGGTTAGGTTCATGGATGATTTGGCACTGACTTAATCTGAATCACATTTGTTGTCAAAAAACTAATAAATGACACGGCTGCTAAACTGTGGACAACTGTGGTGGCTTGTATGTGGAGGAAATAATTTACATTTTAACAATAATAATTGAAGAAATCAGTACAATCACATTGTTTGAGCTGTGGCATTTATGTCAGCTCAGTGAGGCTTGGCTGGCTCCTGCCTCACTCCAAGACCCGACTTTTGGACCATCCTGTAAAGATGTTTTTGAGAGGATAGAAGGCGCCATACAAAAGCATTGGGTAATTCTTATTCCGGGTACACCCCCACTGGCCTGGAGTGAGATTGCAGCATGTCAACAATAACAACAACAAATACAACTTATTCTTGTATAGCCCTAAATCACAACAGCAGTCATCTCAGAGACTTAACAAAATCATTGAAATCACCAACACAGATCAGAGTCAGAGAGAATCAACAGTTAAGACCCAAAATATAAACATATGAATTGGTCCATTTGGAGAAACCAATGTCCATGAATGTTGATAAATGTCCATACATGTTGTAGAATGTTAAAGTGTCCTGGATCATCACCACAGTCCTTCTAGTTGGACCCTACCTGCCCAACAGACCCTCCTGCATCGGCAAGGAAAAACACACAAAAAGTGAGAAACCTCGGGGAGACCCACATATTGAGAAAAGGATCCGCTCCAACACGGACGGACGGGCTAATGATCCAGGACCTAAGCTACAGAACGAGGACCAATGTGACGCAGCGGCCACAGAGCGTGGACAGGTGCGGTGCAGGACTGAAGCGCTCCCAGGCGGGTCGGGCAGGACAGTCCGCAGGTGCAGATGGAGAGGGTCGGTTCAGAGGTCCCGTTGTCACGCGATGAAACAGACAATAGGACAACGGGTGAATAGCAAAGAACACGACAGTCAAAATCTTAATAATGCAGACAGGTGCAGGACTGAAGCGCTCCCAGGCGGGTCAGGCCGGGCAGTCCGCAGGTGAAGATGGAGGAGGCTAGGTTCAGAAGTCCCGTTGTTGCACCATGAAACAGACAATGGGACAACGGGTGAATAGCTATGAACACACTACAGTCAAAATCTTAATAATGCAGATAGATAGAGTAGGAAGGAGGAGAGGATAGTGCTCAAGTTACCATATGTGCTCATGGACTTTTTTGGTGCGGGGGACTGGTCTTTGCAGATACTTGCCTCCCCTGACCGCACATCACTGCTTGATATAAGGTTGTTTCTCGAATAGACAAAGCCTCATCGTTCACAGTGGCCTCCTGCCTTTCAGTGCTATCACGTATCAAACTTCCCATGTTCGTATTGTGCTCAACTTTGACTCCTCCGTCTCATCAAGTGCGCTTTAATCCATAACGCCAGCCGTAATTTCCAGATGCTCATTTGAAAGTGCGGCTTGGTGTTCTTTGGGATTCGGGGAGCAGTAAGTAATAACAGAGTCACATTTCTGGGGCGTTCATGGAAGAGAATATGTGTTTCGTGTGTGTGGAAGCGGCGGAGATATTGCTATGCACACGGAGGCAGACTTTAAACAGCCTGGTTCCGCAGAGGGACGGTGCAAAGTAGGTTGAGACATGAATCACTTTGGACGCCGTCTGAAACTCGTGGCAAACCTGTGAGAGTGTGATGCTGCCGGTGTCTGTGCTGACCTGGATTCAACTGCGTGTGTTTGCAGGGCCTTGGTTCATTCATTGGACTGTCCTCTCAATCTCTTTTATATTCATGAACGAGCTCAGGGACATTGTGCTAGCAGAAATGTAAAGTCGGCGTCGGGTTTTCCATGAATGCTGATAAAATGGTGCGAGGGAAGGTTATGATCTTCAGGTGCTCGAACAGGCTCGAATCAGACCAGTTTTTTTCATACGTTGATGGATATCATTCAGATGACAGCTGGGTTGGGCTTGGGCTGTAGGTGTGAGGGCTCAGTTGTACAAGTGCTTAACTCAAATGTGAAGATTACAAAATATATATATATACAAATTCTGTTTTCCCAGGTTGTTTTACAGGGTAGATTATAGGCATTAATAGATCAAAAATAAATTGACCCCAAAGGAAATTGTGCATTAGTTTCTTGCTGACATATGCACAAACACAGCAGGATGATTAAAACAGTTGAAACCAGTGTTAGAGGGAGTTTTGCTGTTTTTTTAAATAACTATTTTTTTTTTTCTATAATGAATCTTGTTGAAGCAAGGGTACCTATCTTTCAAACACCAACACATTTTTTAATTGAGATACATACAGCATGTATATATGATGGTATGATTTATCCACAACATTATACTTTTACAAGGCAAGGGAAGGCAAATGTATTTGTATAGCACAGTTCATACATTACTCTTCCTGTTGGGACAAACCAAGTCATTTATATTTGGGTAAAAAAGTAAGCCACCCCAGCTTTGGGGTGCATCAAAACAAATGGTTTTTATAGTCCTGTCTACCCTCTCATTAAATCATTCCTCTAAATCCATAATTATCAACTGGAACATCTATGTTTCATTATTTTTTAAATTCCTTTTGTAAACTGGGACTTAAACCAACGTCCGTATTTGTGGATGAATCCTGTGATTGATGTAATTAATCAATTTTATTAGTTTATTATCAATCAATCAATCAATCAATCTTTATTTATAGGGCGCTTTTCCTGCACAGGGCAACACAAAGCGCCTCACAGTCCACACCACACAATGCACAAATCATCACCATTAAAATACAATTAAAAACACATATGTAATTAAAAAGCATTAAAATCACATAAGTAATTTAAAAACATAAAAATCACACAAGTAATTAAAAACAATAAAATAGTTAAAAACACAAAAAGTTACAACAATAAATAACAAGGTGTGTTAAAAAGATAAAATTCTCTAGTTGTATGCACGGGAAAAAAGAAAAGTCTTTAACATGGATTTGAACATTGACAGAGAGGCAGCCAGTCTCACATCCTCAGGAAGACCGTTCCAGACTCCAGCTGCATAAATCTGAAAAGCAGCCTCCCCCTGTCTAGTCCTGACTCTGGGCACTAACAGGAGTCCCGTCCCTGCGCTCCTCAGAGTCCGGGCTGGTTCATATGGGACTAGCATATCATGGATGTACTTTGGTGCAAGGCCATGGAGAGACTTGTACACCAGGAGAGCTGCTTTAAAGTCTATTCTCTGGGCCACGGGAAGCCAGTGCAGAGACCTGAGGACCGGACTAATGTGGTCGTACTTCCTGGTTCTAGTCAGGACTCGGGCTGCAGCATTTTGAATATACTGCAACTGTCTTACTGCATGTTTGGAGATACCTGTGAGCAGGCCATTGCAGTAATCCAGCCTACTGGAAACAAAAGAATGGATAAGAATCTCCAAGTCTGCCCTGGACACAATATTTTTAATTTTGGCAATATTTTTCAGATGATAAAAAGCTGCTGATGTTAGCGATCCAATGTGGCTATTGAAGTTTAAGTCAGAGTCCATTATTACTCCCAGATTTCTGACCTTATTTAAGGGCCTTAGGGAGAGAGACTGAAGGTGACAAATGACGGTCTCTCTTTGTTTCTCGGGACCAAAGACAATCATTTCGGTTTTGTCCGCATTTAGCTGGAGAAAATTGCATTGCATCCACTCACTGATCCGCTGGATACAGCGAAGGAGTGAGTCCACCGGCCCATGCTCTCCTGCAGTCAGTGAGACATAGATCTGAGTGTCATCAGCGTAATTGTGGTAGGACACTTTCATACTTTGAATTAACTGACCTAATGGCAGCATGTAAATATTGAACAGGAGAGGTCCCAGAATCGACCCCTGTGGCACTCCGCAGGTCAGGGCCATATTATCTGAGACATAGTTTCCAATCTCCACACAATACTTCCTTTCTTCTAGATAGGACCTAAACCAGCTTAGGGCGGTACCAGCAACACCAACCCAGTCCTCCAGTCTCTGCATGAGAATCTCATGGTCAACGGTGTCGAAAGCGGCACTCAGATCTAACATGACTAAAACAGAGACTTTTCCTGCATCAGTGTTAAGCCGAATATCATTTGTTACCTTGACTAGAGCGGTCTCAGTACTGTGGTGTGGTCTAAAGCCAGACTGAAACATGTCAAATGAGTCATTAGATATTAAAAATTCAGTAAGTCGTTGGTAGGCAACTTTTTCAAGAATTTTTCCCATGAAAGGCAGATTTGAGATGGGACGGTAATTTTCAAGTACCGCAGCATCCAAACTGCTCTTTTTTAGGAGGGGCCTAATGACTGCCTTTTTCAGGGCCATTGGAAATGTTCCAGA